GGTGTTTTATGGCGTTCAAGTTGTCCCCGAAGTGGTTGGAAATATCAACATTGCATGGTGTTCCCATGGTGTTTCTGAAGAATATTTGATGATCCCATGGTACCCAAACATCTACCCATGAAACATTCATGACAGGTCATGATGTCATAAGATTTTTCCATGGTGATGTCATGGGTAATCATGCTGTCTTTGAAGAATACCATGGCTACCTCGTTCATCCCCATGGGATCCCATGTAAATCCCACGGGGATGCCATGGGACATTTTTGTGAGGGGCGATGCTACAACTGCACGACGCGACGCTACGACGGCACGACGCGACATCACGACGGCACGATACGACGGCAAGACCTGACGGCAAGACGCGACATCGCCAAGAAACAACACCACGCGACTGCATGATGCTACGCCAAGACGCGTACGGCACGACGTGGCGACAAGACGGCACGACACAATGTATTAAACAGAGTAAAAACGTAATGAGAAAAGAGGCGACGGGACGACATTACCCAATTTTAGCGGCTATGGAACAACATACTTTTATGCTGCGTATAATACATTAGGTCGTGCGGTCACATCATGCCGTCGAGTCGTGCCATCGCGTCGTATCGTCGCGTACGTCATACTGTCTCGTCGTGCTGTCGCGTTGTGCCGTCGCGTCGTGCCATCGCATTGTCCTCTTGCCGTCGCCTTATTACTGGTGGAAATAGGGGACGCCCTTAAAGACGGAGTTAAGATCAATACCAATCATGATCAAATCTTGTAGTCCCTATGGGTGCATTCGATCAAATCGTTGGATTTCTGCGTTATCCCACTGGGTCTTACAATCAGGAGGGATCATAGAAATATTTCTATAAATCCCGAATTTGGACCGGTAGTTTCCAGTTCGGGGTGTTTCTTCCACAAAAAGCCCCAAATTGCGGGTCTACGTCTATTTTGGATAGAGGCAGGCGGCTACATTCAGAGCTGAGCGCATAAATTACTACTCTTTGGGGGGTATCTTCAGGGAAAGGCGAATAAAAAAAATTCACGTGGCTAACCCCCATAAAAATTGACACAAAAATTGATTTTCTGGCCATAATCCTGAATTTCCAGGGAAAGAACGGGGCCAACCTTTACCCGAGAGTCAACAGGCGGCGCTCCTTCGGTCTGATTTTGCATTATTTTCTTTGGACGCGTATTTGGTGTGGTGTAACTCTATACATGCACATTGTTTTTCAAGGACTTGTGACGTACGCCCTCTATTGGCCTTCAGTAATCACCAGCCATTTTTTAGAAAGAGTAAGGCACGACGGCAGGATACGACACGACAGCATGACACGGCGACGGTGCAACGACACGACGCGATGGCAAGACACTGTATGAAAACCATACAATGACAGGCGACGCGATGGCGCGATGCAACGGTACGACGACAAGACGCAACGTCACGACGGCACGATACGACACCAAGACGAGCCGGCACGACGCAACGGCATCAAGAAACAACATGACGCAACGGCACAACGCGACGCATTAACACACAGCAAGACGCAAGGCATTAAACACAGAATAAAAGTAATGACAAAGGAAGCGACGCCATCACACGACGGAGCTGTCGTCCCGTGGCGTCGTAGCACCGGGGGCGACGGGACGATGCGACGCAATTTTGGCGGCTACGGAACACCATACAAGAGGGTGCAAAGCAAGTTACGCCGGGCAGGGTTAAAAAAACTCCGTAGCCAAAGCATAAACGTTTAATGTCAAGAGGATCCCGACTTGGTCAAGTCTAGCCTATTATCTGATCTCACGGGTTTTTTACGAAAGGACAAGCCATACCAGGACGAATCCATGGTGTACTATTTACGACAAACATTTCCCTCTCTCTTTAGCTTCCCTCCGGGCGACGCAACTACACGACGCGACGGCACGACGGGTCCCTTGCGTCGTACCGTCGGGTCGCTCCATCGACTTTTTGCCATTTTTGCACACACGACGCATCGCGTCGTGTCGTGCCGTCGCCCCTCGCGTCGTGCTGTCTAAGGTCCTTTCCTTGTTGCATTTTTTTCTGCCTAAACGTCGCTATGGTGTACTATTTACGACACACATTTCTCTCTTTCTCTCTGGCCTCCCTCAAGGCGACGTAACTACACGACGTGGCGGCACGACGGCTCCCTTACGTCGTGCCGTCGGGTCGCACCGTCGCCCTCTTGTCATTACTTTCGTGCACGCAAGACGCGTCGCGTCGTGCTGTCTTAGGTCGTTTTCCATTTTTTTCTACCTAAACGTCGCTCCTTCTGTCGCCCGTCGCGTCGTGCTGTCGTGCGTCGCGTCGTGCGTCGTGTCTTGCATCGCGTCGCCTGAAGCACGAAGCGACGCACGACATGACGCAGGACGCGACGCGTCGTGTGCTGTCGCCCTTTACTTCATGGTGTTTATAGAGGGCGCCTTTACTGTTTTCTTTCACCTTTCTTGCAAAGTACATGCTATTTGCTCTTTGGTGTTGAGTTTTCATTGTTTTTATTAATTGGGATTAATTTCAGTCATATTTTATTGAAAAAATGATAAAAGTGCAAAAAATTCGAATAAATAGGAACTGCTCTCTCAAAATAAGTGGAAACCGCAAGCTCAGAATTCGTCACTTTTAAATTTTGATTTTTGATTTAAAAAAAAGGAAAAGAGTTTTCTTCAACAAATCACTCTTAATGAAAACACAGTTAGAAAGAATCCACAAAAAAGAACAACAGAATCGTGGCCTGGTACCTATGGCATGTACTGTGCAAGCACGGGCCGGGGGAAGGAAATGAAAGAAAACAGTAAAGGCTCCCTCTATAAACACCATGAAGTAAAGGGCGATATCACACGACGCGTTGCGTCGTGCGTCGTGTCGTGCATCGCGTCGTGCTTCAGGCGACGCGATGCACGACACGACGTACGACGCGACGCACGACAGCACAACGCGACGGACGACGGAAAGGGCGACGAATAGGCAGAAAAAAGCAACAAGGAAAGGACCTAAGACAGGGCGATGCGACGGGCGACGGCACAACGCGACGCACGACGCGACATGTGTGTACAAACGAAATGGCAAGAAGGCGACGGTTCGACCCGACGGCACGACGCAAGGGAGCCGTCGTGCCGTCGCGTTGTCTGGTTGCGTTGCCTGGAGGGAAGCTAAAGAGAGAGAAATGTTTGTAGTAAATAGAACACCATACGAATCACCAATGTCGGATTTAATTTCCAACTATTCCAAATCTCTGGGTATTTCGATCGCAAAGCCTATGGACCTTTTTCACCTGCCTGACGAGATTGTGCTNAAATGTAAACAATACCACCCCATGTGGACCACTTTGGCCACGGTAAACTCCTGCGGCAGCTTCAACCACGCTCAAGTGCACATGCAAACGCTGCATGGACTAGTTTATCTTGAAAAAGTACCATCACAGCACTACGTACTCATTACTGTGGGGAGCTGGGTCCTCTGGTGACTGGCGACAAGTTTATGTTTGGTACGTCTCGGCGCGTACATGTACGTCTGTTCTATGTGCACCACCTTGCGTTTACCTCAAGTACACAACATAACTCAGGTACCCATGCAAACATTGTAAATTGCATGTAACTTGTCAGCCTGGCTATAGACTAACAAAGAACGGGTGTATCGGATTGGCTTTATGAAGTCACTTCATACAAGACCTGTTATTACGATACCCATGTATGCCGGTTATTAAGCGTGAACGTCGTGTCGTAGTTTTAAAATGTTAGTTATATACAGATTTAACTGTTTGGTCACTTCCAGTCTTTTTTTTCTAGGGAGTCAACAACAAAACAGTCTTTTGCCATGTCGCTCCTCCACCGTCCATGCCTTTTCCAGCATCACTCATTAAGCGGGGCGTTTGCTGCCATTGTTGCGGCTCCTGCCCTAAGTGAATGCCAGCGTATGTTGACATCCCCGCAAACCTCCTTTAGTCTGGCCACGACTGTCTCCTGCGCTCTTGTATAGCTTAATGGTTTGTTTTTGGTAACGAGGTAGCATTTGCCTCTTGTGCTATAGGTAGGTTTTAATAAGAGATGGTCTGAGCTTGGCTCCAACTTTGCGATCATGGTCATGTATTTCTTGAGCAATAAGACGGAACATGCTTCCGTTACTCCTTTGTGGTTTACTATCGTACTCACGTCTCGATACTTATCCGTTTTGCTGTGTAGATCGACTTGTGATTGGCATGAAACGTTACATCTTTACAGTTGGTGGCATTGACCTCATTAAATCTCGTGAACCCAGCAAAGCATAATATTAATAGAATCAAGCTCAAATCTCGTAAAACTAAAGCCTCTTCAGACGAAGCGTGTTTCTCACACAGTGCAATTAATTGAGACAATAATTTTTTTGTACCCTTGAGTAATGTACATTTTTCCTTCCTCGGTGTTCCAATCTAAGCCCAACCATGTCAACGTGGTCTATAATAATAATAACAACACAAATAATAAATTCATTTATAAAGCGCAAATTTCATATAGATATGTTCAAATGCGCTGTACAAGGAAGACATTAAGCATGGAACAGAGAATACATTTTATACATAGTTGAGCCGATGGCATACAAGGGCGCCTCGGGCAGCCGCCAAACGACCCATATTCAGCAACATCAGTAAAGGGGAGACAGTAAGAAGCAGTTACAGCTAGAGGTGGGAGGAAAACACCAGAGGAATGTTCTAGGTAAAACCCAGGGAGTCAGGTAGCTAGGGACTGAAAACCCAATCCACATGTGGACCGGGCCGGGAATCGAACCCGGGACCACAGAGGTGGAAGGCGAGGAAAGAACTACCTTGCCAACCTGACTCCCCAGATCCTTTCAAGGCGATCCCAGGTAGGTACTGTGACCAAACAGGGGTAGGCATGGATGCCAGTCTAAGTCATTAATTATTAATGCATGCGTTGACCAATCAGCGGTGCATAGAGCACTGGGGCCTGGGCGCTTCCGTCGTGCTGAGGGCGCACGTTGTTAGTTTCGCTGCTGGGTCGCAGAGTGACAGGAAGGCCGCCGAACGTTAAGCGTCGTGAGCTTTACATTGCGCCGACTGTGAGGTAGCTAGGGACGCTGCATTAGAGAGCGCTGCGTCGTATCGACCGGTAGGTGGAGTGGTACATGTAGTAGTGAAAATGGATTCAAGCTATTCATGGTGACCGACAACTAAGGTGGAAAGCTTGCGGTAGCATCATGCAAGGATACGATCTTTTTTGGGAGTCTGTATGGTAACCTTTTCAGAACCATACAGACTCACAAAAGAGATCCAATCCTTGCATGGTGCTACCGCAAGCTTTCCACCTTAGTAGTGAATTGTTTATTGGGTCTTGGTTAGAGTGGGAACAGTCTAGAGCGTAGTTTGTTTTATCCCTTGCGTGAGAGCTGGAGGTATGGTGATTCGTTGTAGATATCTGGCCGTCTGTGAACACCGTAGGTTGGGTGACGGCTGGGTTGCGATCCAGGTATCATTGAACTGGCTTGCCTTGCGCTCTGGTTCTTGTAAGGGGTATTGTCTCTTGGATTAATCGACCCTGGGTAGTGAGGATGATTATCCCTTGATTGACTCCACATAGATTATCACTGCTTGCTAGTAGTGTGTATCGTTGGCAGTAGTCCAGCTTGTATTAGAGTTGCCAGGTGATTAGGTTTACCACGTGACGCTTATTGAAGTGCTTTGTGTGGTGTATTGTATAAATAAACCTTGTGTTTTGATATGCCTCGTTGATTCATATTTATAATAAACC